ATACGCAGGAGCACGAGGAAGGCGGAGGATGAGGTGGAGGAGGAGGAAGAGGAGGAGGAGGAGGAGGAGGAGGATGAGGAGGAGGATGTGGCGGATCAGTAGGAGTATGAGCAGGGGCACGAGGAAGGCGGATGATGATGATGATGATGATGGTGATGATGATGATGACGGTGATGATGATGATGATGATGTTGATGATGATGCTGATGCTGATGATGATGATGATGATGATGATGATGATGATGATGGTGATGATGATGATGATGATGATGATGATGATGATGATGATGATGATGATGATGATGATGATGATGATGATGATGATGATGATGATGATGATGATGATGATGATGATGATGATGATGATGATGATGATGATGATGATGATGATGATGATGATGATGATGATGATGAGGATGCTGATGATGAGGATGCTGATGATGATGCTGATGATGAGGAGGAGGAGGAGGAGGAGGGGGAGGAGGAAGAGGGGGAGGAACCAGAGTTGGAGAAGCGGGGATCTGGAGGACGAGGGGAAGGTGGAAGAGGGGAAAAGGGGGCGACACCGACGAGGAAGGATTCCGATCCAGGAATCAGGCCCGCGCTGGTGCGAGAGCGCCAGTCTGAACGACGGGAGAACAGGGCCGATCCCGAAACGAGGCCAACACTGCAGCGGGATACGGCCAGTCCCGTGGACGGGGGCGTGATAGGGGGGGGGGAAATGTGGATGGAGGAAGCAGGGAGGGGAAGGGGGGGAATGAAAGGGAGGGAGAGAAAGGGGAGGAATGGAGGGAGGGGAGGGGTGGGGAGGGCCCCACTTGGCGGCCTGTTGGGCCTCCGCCCAAGTGTGCTCTCCGCGTTTCTGCTTTTCCTCGAGGCGCTCGTGCCCCGTCGTTTTCTACGGGACCCGCCGCACCTCCCAGGGTACATGTCGATCCTATCGATCCGGCTGGATGTCGACTCCCGCCGGCCCAATCCTATCCGACTCCGATGCTCAGACAATCCGATGCACCCCGATGTTCTCAAGGCGCCGTGGTGCCCTGGCGCGGCCGATCCGATTCGACGACTCCGTGCCGGTGCTCGATCCGACGCACATTTTGATTCGACCAGATCCTTCTGTTTGTCTCGCCCCCGCGTCCTCACCCGCCCGCCGCCCTCTTTACAATTTGTGCGTGTGTCCAAACGGGGCGGTTGCCGCGCGAAGGAAGGAGTTCTTTCACGCCGCGATGCTGGAAATGCCCTCTCGGCTCATGGAGGGTCGGGAGTGTTGGGTGTCGGGGGCGACGAGCGGCGCGCACGTCGAGTTGGAGGTGATTTCTATCAGGCTTGATGCGTGACACTTGCAGCATATTGGTATGACATGCTGGTGGTCTGAGCTGTGTGTCTAAGGTGGAGTGGGGGAACCTCGGATTCACGAAGGGAACAAGCATCCAGCAGGGCAGGAAGTGAATTCCGAATTTCAGCTGCATGCTACACGCACAGCTCTTTGACCGAAGCGGTGCTCAAGGTCCAATGACTCATCAACGGACGGTAGCAAACTCAGCGTGCCAGTTTACCATTTTGTTTCCGCTGATCTTCCAAGAGCTTCTCAATTCCCAGAGATCAAGTGTCGAAGACGCCTACCGCGAACCACAGCCGCCCCCTGCCTTTTGGAGCTGAAAAGTGTGACCAAACGTTGCGCCGAAGTCTTGCCAAACTGTTGGACTACGTGCTATCCGAGACGCTGTAGAAACCCTTGGGGACACACTTGTGGAATAACAAGAGAGGAAATCTAGAAATATGGAGGCGACGCGCATGAGGGCGGCACGTCCTACCAAAAGGAGAGGAAGAGAGAGCGGGTTCGGGTACTGGGAACCTCTCGGAAGGGTTTAAGCAGCTATCATCCAGTACGCCAACAACCCCTCTTGCAAGCAACAGTGGCTGGTGGATCCAGATGCTTGCGGCATACCCCGCCACCATGCCAGCGCAGCATCGAATAAACGCAGGACCATTCTACCGAACTCTTTGAGCAGGCTCGGTGGAACCATCTCTGGTGTCGAGAGGGAAGCTGCGCCAAGAAGATGTTGTTGCGTAGGGTGGCCGTAAAGTTGCATGGCTGTTGCACTGCTTCCTGGGTTACCGGAGGCTTTTTGGAGGCTTCCCTGGACCCTCTTGGGCGGGGACCTCCTGGAGCCCTCTTGGAAGTTTCACGGGGCCTTGTTGGCGATATCGGTGTTACTTTGGGTACGATGCTGTCACCCGGCAGCAAATTGGCGCTGTAACGCCTCGAATTTCTGAGTGCACAGTGGCGGACACGTGAATTAAGTAGTGTACGGAGGATCCGTAGCACACGTCAGTTCCAGCTGGTATGTTTGATGTACAAAGTTTGTGCCGGCTCAGGATCTTGATGTGGAAGGTTCTACCGGCTGGGCATCTCGTTGTACTCTGGTCTAGGGTTGTTGCTTGCTTCTGTATGCCACGTTTGACCTTTCCGACCGCGTTTGCTTGGGCTGCCACCCGCCCTGTCTACAGGCGTGTGCGGTGACTGTCTGGTGCGGTGCCCGTCTGGTGCTTTCGCTCTTTCCCGCCTCTTCCCCTCCCCACTTGGGCCGAGCCTCCTCCTGCGGCTGCTTTACGTAAGGTGGTGGTGGTGGCGTTAGAACATCCATTTGTAGAGGAGAGTTGTGCCTGGTCCATGGAAGAGGCTTTGTGACGCCGGCTGCATTGTCTTTGAAAACCAAGCTCCCGCTCGAGCGCGGGCCTCATTACACATCGTGGCCCATGAAAGCCCAAAATCGACGGCAACGGCTCTCACTCACAAGTTCTTTTTAACTTGTTCCGAGACGCCCTGGCCAGAGAGGCCCCCATATTCAGGAACGGCTCTCTCGCTCAAAACGTTGGCGCAGTCCAGTCAAGTAGGTGAAGGCGCCATTGCGGCGGCAACGGCTCCTGTTCGATACTCCCTCGCTATTTACTCCGAGGCGCCTTGGCCAGACTTGCCCGCGCTTTCAGGAATGGCGCTCTCGCTCGAGAGTTCGTCACAATGCTCTTGGGTTGGTGAAGGCCCATTTGCGACGACAACGGCTTCCGCTCGATACTTCCTCGCACGTTATTCCCACGCGCTCTGGGCATATGCGTTCTCGAATTCAGGAATCCCGCCCGAGATTTCCTCACAATCCATTAATGCTGCTGCAAGCCCAATTGCGCCGACAACGTCTCCCGCCTTCTATGTTCTCGCAGTTTGCGCCCACGAGCCCCAGTGAGATGGAGTGGCGCTCTCGCCTGAGAATTTCTCACAATCCCTTTGTGCTGGTGAAGGCCCAGCCGCGGCGCCAACGTCTCCCGCTCTGGACGTTGTTGCAGTTCACTCCCGCGCGCACTGTTGAGGTGCGTTCTCGCACTCAGGACCGGCGCTCTCGCCCGAGCCGTCCTCAATATCCATGGTGAGATGCGTTCTCGCTCCTCCTCCTTCTCCTCCTCCTCCTCCCCCTCCTCCCCCTCCTCCCCCTTCTCCCCCTTCTCCCCCTCCTCCTCCTCCTCCTCCTCCTCCTCCTCCTCCTCCTCCACTCGGGAGTGGCGTTTTTGCCTGAAAGTGTGTCACAATCGACTTGCGCTGGTGAAGGTCCACTTGCAACGACAACGCCTCCTCCCCCTTCCCAGCTTCTCGCAATGTGCTTCCGCGCGTCCTGGTGAGGTGCGTTCTCGCATTCAGGAGTGGCGCCTTCGCCACAGAACTCCTCACGATCCACCTGTGTTGATGAAAGTTCAACTGCGACGACAACGTCTCCCGCTATGTGCTTTCTCGCAAGTTTATCCCGAGCGCCCTAGTGAGATGCGTTCTTACACTCATGGAATGGCGCTCTCGCCCGAAACTCGTTTAAACTTTATTTGCGTTGGTGAATGTACAAATGCCACGACAACGTCTCCCGCTTTCTAGTGCCTTGCAATTTACTCCCGCGCGCCCTGATGAGATGCTTTCTCGCACTCAGGAATGGCGCTCTCGCTCGAGACTTCCTCAACAGTCACTTGTGTTGGTGAATGCCCAATTGCGACGACAAAGTCTCCCGCTTTCTAGTTTCTCGCAATTTACTCCTACGTGCCATGGTGAATGGCGCTCTCGCCCGAGACGTCTTTGCAATGCAGTTGGCTTCGTGAGCGCCCGAGCTGAACCGTCAGCGACCCCAGCTCGAAACGTTCTCGCACTTCTGTCGGGGATGCCTTGGCCAGATGCGTCTTCTCATTCAGGCATGGCGGCCGAAACGCCGAACCATCCCACAGAGGGTCTTCTCGGTTGTCGTCGTGCCTGCGGCACTGCTGAAAACTTGTTCCTTGAAGACTTCTCCCAGCAGCTGAGCACTTGCATCGCAACCTACATCTACCAAAAGACACGCACACCAACAAAAGGGGGAGAGGAATACCTATACGACCGCCCTGCGGGCGATAAGTAGGATGGGGGGGGGATTGAGATCGAATGCCCACCCTGACTGACCTCCAGCCTGTCACCTTGATCTCATCTCTCTCTCTTTCTCTCTGTCTCTCTCTCTCTCTGTGTATCTCTCTCTCTCTCGCCCTCTCTCTCTCTCTCTCCCTCTCTATCAGAGTATCCCTCCACCACAATGATGATCGCGATGACGATGACCAAGATGACGATGGATTGGATTGGCCCGCCGCAGGCGCAGAAACAAATAAATTGATGGATTGGGTTGGATGGATTGGATTGGGTGGGATAAGAAAAGATGTGACAAGATGGGTTGGATAAGATACGATGAATTGGATTTGACAAGACGGATTGGATAAGATAAGCTGGATTGGATAAGAAAGCCCGCCGCAGGCGCCGACAAAAATGAATTGATGGATCTGGGTTGGGTGGATTGGATTGGATGGGATACGATGGATAGGATAAGATATGATGGGCTGGATTGGAAGAACTGTTTTGGATAAGATCAGATGGATTGGATTGGCCCGCCGCAGGCGCAGAAACAAATGTATTGATGGATTGGGTTGGGTGGATTGGACTGGGTGGGATAAGTTAAGATGGGACCAGATGGGTTGAATCAGATGATATGTATTGGATTGGGCAAGATGGATTGGATCAGATAAGCTGGATTGGATAAGAAAGCCCGCCGCAGGCGCCGAAACAAATGAATGATGAAATTAGCGACATGCCTTAGCGCCGGGACGCCCGGGACACCCGGGACACCCAGGACACCGCCCTGCCCACCTTGGACACCTCCCGGCCACTGGCGGACGGGAAACGGACTTTGGCTCCTACTGACACCCGGGGCACCTGGGACACCGCCCGGCCCAATTGGGACACCTCCCGGCCACCGGCGCACGGGAAACGGCTTTTCGCTCCTACTTCGGCCTAGCTACAGGAGGATCACGCGCAGCTTCGCCTCGCCCGCACGCACGACACGAACACGAAACCGAAGCCGATTTCCCGGTGGGGGGTCTCCGTTTCACTGCGATCATCCCCCAACCTCCGATATAGCTGCAGGCCACAGGAGGAGGAGGAGGGAGGAGGAGGAGGAGGAGGAGGAAGAGGAGGAGGAGGAGGAGGAGGAGGAGATGGAGGGGGAGGAGGAGGAGGAGGAGGAGGAGGAGGAGGAGGAGGAGGAGGAGGAGATGGAGGGGGAGGAGGAGGAGGAGCTTAGATCAAATGCTCGCAGGATGGTCGTCGTAATTGTCTCTGTCGCCGTCCTCGCCAAAGGCGTCGCCGTCGCCGCCACCGCCTTTCGGTCGACGGGCAGGAGCTCGCCGCCCACGAGCTGAACTGCGCCCTCGCCGCGCTGGCGTCGCTGGGTGCCGTGGAGCCGCCAGACGCTGCGGGGATCAGGGGCAACGACAGGGTGGAGCTGGCTCAGTGGGGGGGATCGGGCGAAGAGAAGTCTGCACATTCAGGCGATCGCAAACATGGATTGAGGGGGCGTGGATTAGCCACGGGTCCCGTCTCCATGGGAAATCGCGGATTTCCGCCGCTGAGCGAGGCGGCACCGGCCGCATTTTGGGGAGGGCACCTCCCCCAATCCATGGATTGGGCGACCGCGCGCCAAATCCATGGATCGCTAATCCATGCTTGCGCGCCCCCGACACATGCACCGATCCTGGCCAGGCCCATCCTGGGCCCAGGATCGGTGCACACGCCCTCTTGGCCTCAGCCAGGAGGGCCTGTGCACACATCCTGGGCTCGGGATGGGGCCTGGCCAGGATCGGTGCATGTGCATGCTCCCCTTGCCTCCCAGGGGGGAAGCATGGGCCCCCAACATGCCACTCGGGGCCCTGGTGCCCCACCCTGGTCGGGAGCGGGCTGTTTCGCCACCGGGGGGCCTGTCGCCGATCTTTCGGCGACGCATCGCCGACTCCAAGCCAATGCCCCCCCCCCTGAACCAGTCCTCCCCTGCCGTTCCCCCTCAAAAGGAGGGGGTGGAGGGAAGAGGCAGGGGAGGGGGCAGGGGGCGAAGGGATGGTGCGGTGGGAGGAGGGAGGGGGCAGCAGCGTGAAGCTAGGGGAAGGAAAAATGACATAAACACAAGGTCTCGGAGGTCCGCGCGGATTTCTCGGATCCGTGCTGGACCCCCCTCCCTGGCGCGCGGAGCGCGCCAGGGGCGGCGCCGGAGGCGCCGCCAGGGGTCCCAGCGCGGATCCGAGAAACCCGTGCGGACCTCCGAGTTTTTGTGTTTACGTCAGCGTTCGTTCCCCTACAAGGGGGTGGTGCGCCCGGCCCGCGCCTGTCCACAGGAGCACAAGTTCTTCGTGCTCGTGGGCCGGTCGGCGCTGGCGCGGCACAGGATCGCCGCGTCTCCTGCCGCTGCCGCTGCTGCCCCTGTCGCTCTTCGGAGGAGAGCGGCACTGGCCGGCAAGCCAGGCATTACGTTTGCCAGGACAAGGAACGCGGGGCACAAAACATTGACGAGCCAATAACACACACACCCATACCCATAGGGGGGTCGGAGAGGGCTATGGGTGCGTGTTGTCGGATGGGGGCCCCCGCTCGAAGGGGAGCGTTCACCAGGGTCTGACAACCCGCACCCATAATTACCCATAGCCAGTCCTCCTCCCAACGACCCCCCTATGGGTATGGGTGTGTGTTGCTCGTTCGTCAAACATTGCAGGGTGTGCCCTGGCTCTGTGCGCTAACCTTTTGTGCCCCTGTGCACGCTCCGCGTCCGTGTCGCAGTCATGGAGCCAACATTCGGCGCAGACACAGGAGCGGTCGGTGGCCAAGAAACGGCGCCCCCTCAGTAGGCCGTCACACGCTTGGCCCGCACAGAGTGCGCACTTTGGAGTGCCTCCTGCCACCGAGCGGCAGTCACTGCAGTGATACTTGCAAGATTTTGTGCGGCGAACTGCCCATTTGCATTCTCTGCATGTGACGCATTCTGGCGGAGAGACATCCATGTGATCGAAGGGCTCTGTCTGTCCCTGGCCCCGACGTGCCTGCGCACCGCCGGGCGACTGGCAAGGGAAGGCCGCGTGCGCGACGGTCCTCTCCGCGCTTGGCTCTCCCCGTGCCTGCGAGAGAGGGGGGGTCCCAGGTGCGCGCCGCCTCGAGCCGTGTTCTGACCCTGTCTCTGGCGCGCAGGTGTTGCTTTCCATGGTCAGGGGACCAAGAAGTGGCATAAGCATAAAAAACTCGGAGGTCCGTGCGGATTTCTCGGATCGGCGCTGGGGCCACCCGGCGGCGCCTCCGGCGCCGCCCCTGGCGCGCTCCGCGCGCCAGGGAGGGGGGTCCAGCGCCGATCCGAGAAGTCCGCGCGGACCTCCAAGTTTTTATGTTTATGCCACTTTCTATTCCCCTAATGGTGCGGTAACCCCGCATCGCCTCTCCGCTTGAGGATTTGGGTGTGGGCCCTCTCCCCTTTGTTCTCTTCCTCGTCCCCTCCTCCTTGCTGCTGCTGCTGCTGCTCCTGGGGCGGGGCGGAAGGGACGTCCGCCGCGCAGCCATCTGTGGCTCGCAGCGGAGAGGTAACAGAGCGTCTGCCCGCGCGCGCGCTCGCTCCCGCTTGAGTCGAATTGGCTTGTGAGCTGATTGAGTTAGCTGTATTGACCGCGCAGCTTCTTCTCGTCGCCACGGCTGGATCCGCTTTGGAAAGCTGGATTCTGCACGCCTGGAACCAAGCCGCGGCTCAATCCCGAGCTAGGGCCAGTTCGGCCCGAAGGTCGAAGTCACCTAACACACAGGTTGTCAGCCGAAACGGGGGGGAAACCCTCCGCCTTCGTGCTGGTGCTTGAATCTCTTCAAGACTTCAAGAGAAGGCATGTCCCGCCATGATAAGCCCGACTCCCTTGACGGAGGTCTTGACCAATATCTCAGTGGCATCATGCCCCTCCCCGAATGGGACAATTATCTAAGCCGCAGCGCCAGCGGGAATGGGTGCCGTCCCGATCGCTGACGCCCAACAATGTCTTGTGCGCCCGCTCAACCAGCCCAACGCCTCCCTGTAGGAGGTGGACCAGCTCAGGTGGACCAGCCGCAGGTGGCACGTCCGCATTGCGTCTGCGTCAGTGGCGGCTACATGCTATACCCTTCTGACCGCGTGGAGCTGCGCCAACAAGTAGACCGGCCGCCGCCGAGGCGGTGGCAGGGGCCTGTTTTCTCCGAGCCAGCAGGAGATGGCCCTCCCGGGCCTCGCGTTCGGCACGCTACAGGTGAGCCGCTTGCCGCCCAGGCAGCCGCGCCTGCTGCGCCCAGCGTGGCGCCTGCGCCACAGCAGCAACCTGCTGGGGGTGCTAGCGCCAGCTCCAAGAGCGCTGAGCACAGCGCAGCTGCCTGCAGAACTCCAGGGAGGCATCCGAGACGCCATCCAGCAGGAGATGCAGCGGCAATCCATTGCGTTGCGTAACGCGTTTGACCATCAGCGCACCGAGCTCCGTACTGCCTTCGCGGAGTACGCCAGGAATCAATAAACAAGAGCGGAAAGCCAGCAGCTTGCGCAGTTGAGTCAAGCTACCGATGTTCCCGCTCGCGCCGTTGCAGAAGAGTTGGCAGCCCACGCTGCCAGTGCAAGGGAACAAACTTTCAACGAACGGCGCGAGAGAATTGCAAGCAGCGTTGCCTCAGTGAAGAGTGCTGGGCGGACCTCGAATGACGCCTGCGCGCCGACGAAACGCAACGAGTGGAGCTGAACCAGATGGTTCAGTAAATGGGTGAACAGCAGCACGACCAACTTACGGCTGGGCAACCAGCCGCGGTTGCGGGCTTTGCCCAATTCCAGGCGTCCATCGCCACCTTAGAGCAACGTGTGGGGGCAAATGAACCCTCCTGGCACACGCCGCTGGGCAACCGAGAAGGGCGTTTGATGGTATCCAGGAGGGGCTCAATGAAGTCCTAAGGGGACTTCAGTTAGAGACAGGCTCAACACCACCGACGGGCTCGCTACTGCAAATGGCGACATGATCGACATGCACGAGGCATGGTTGATTGAAGTAAAAGAGAGCATCGAACGTTTTAACAGCAGACTGCAACAGTACGAAGCCGTCTCCACCGACCTCAATTCCAGAACTGTCATGACCTCAACGCTTGAAACTTTGAACGCGTTCGCCAGGGTGCCGCCGCCGAGTTCAATCGGCTCGGTAGAATGCTCGAAGACGCGAGCAGACGGGCCACCGACAAGCAGGATAGCGTGGAACACCCGAGCACCCTTCTGGTGACGCGCCACGCGTCCCCAGCAAGGCGCGTCAGCCCTCTCCCGCGCGGCTCGCGCCCGAGAAACCATGGCACGCCATCTCCGCCACATGCTGGAGAATTGGCCGAGTGGAGAGCTGTACCAGGGCCGCAGCGGCTCGCCGAGGCAACAGACGTGCCCGGTGCTCCCCAGCAGCAGCCCCGAGGGGCCAACGGCGAAGCGGCCGGGCCACCGGCCGCAGCCCCCCAAGAGCGAGCTGGAGCACAAGCAGCGAGACAAGGCGAGGAAAGCTCGGGCCGGACGAAAGGGGGGGATAGGGAAAGGGGGGGTGACGAAATCTGCTGCATGCAGCTGGTTTCGGCCCCGCCGAGGGGCCCATTCCTCGATACATGGCCGCCTCCGGCGCCGGGAGGGGCCGGGAAAATCAGCTGCGTGAGCTGATTCTCGAGCCCCCCTGTTGCTATCCCCTCCTTTCGCCCGGCCCGAAAAGCAGGCGATTAAAGTTGCCGCGTGGACAAGAGGTTCCACCACTACCGCTGGCCACTCCTGCGCGTCGCCCCGAAATCGGCGACGAACCTGGCATTGAATGGCTCTGGGTACGGTCGGCGCAAGAGTGGCGCCCCGTTCCAGAGGCCCCCGCGCCCTCGGAAGCAAACGCTCAAGGCGACGGGGGAACGTCCTCTGAGGACGAAAGACAGTCCGCAGCAGAAGAAATTGCTCGGGCCCTTCTGAGACGTACAAAGAAGCTGAGTCGTTCAACTACAAGGCCCTGCCAGCTGTGCCCTGCTTCCGTGATTGGGAATAGTACGTGTGTGAGGACGCTACCGCCGCCTCTGGGCGACCTGATGAATGCTTTGTTTTCCTTCGCGCTATTGAGGAGCCTGGTGCATCGTGCGAGTCGCTCGCGGACAGCGGCGACTTTGCCTCCCTCGGCGCTCAGATCGCAAAGGCCTGCACCAACATCCTCAAACACGACGTCCTCGAGAGAGGTCGACCTACAGAAAGATATCGCGAAGGCACATAACAAGCTCGTTAAATATACGCACCTGCTCTGGATGGTCTTTGACTGGTACGAGCTGGCGGAGGCCGAGAGTTGCATCTTCGGCTTCGCGCGCCTAAACGATGTCAGGAGGCAAGAAGGCGATCTGTCCAAGCTCCCTGATGATTAGGACCACGCGCTCTCTGGTGTCAAAGCCATCCTAAAGTCCTCTATCCCTGAGTCGTTGTTCCAGGCTCAGGTGGAACACCGCCGTGACATGCAACGCGATATGAGCTTCTACAACGGGATGGAGAAAAACGACCCCAACAAGACATGCCAGTGGCTCCACGGCGTAGAACCACTGGCATGTCTTATTGGGGCCGAGTGGACGCGCTTGGCGTAGCGTCTGCGCCAAGCGCCTCCGCCCGCAAGAAAGACAGCGCCTTTCCGCCGCCAGACGGGAGGCCCTGACGGGCCGCGGCGGGCGCGCGGCAGCCGCCGCAACGTCGCGGGGGATCTGCGGGGACCTCCTGGCCTGGGGCGCGTGGTACGACGAGTGTTGTGACTGGCTCTAGGCCTCCTACATGGGGTCGGAGTATAGATGGGGTCGGAGGATCGCTCCGCATCGACGATGCATCGGCGATGCGGCTCCATGTGGAGCCCGATGTTCTTCGCGTCGACGTCGCCGGCGTCGGCGGTGCATCGCCGGTGCATCGCCGATATGTTGGCGGTGCGGCGCGATCTTCCGACCCCATCTAGTGCGAGCCCATCTGGGAGGTCTCTACCGCCAGCGTCCAGACAAGTACAAGAAGAACGCGGTTCCAGTTGGTGGGGGACCCTCCGCAAAGTTCTGCGTGGAGTTCGCCAGAAAGGGCAAGTGCAAATGTGGCAAGTGCACCCTCGCGCATATAGAGCCGCCTGCTCATTCCACAGGAAAGGGCACTGTTCGATGGGCGACAACTGTAATTCCCAGCGCGGGGAAAAGCAGCGCCCAAGCAGCGCGGAGCGGGGCGCCGTCGCCAGCACCGTCCAACCGAGGACGCTCCAGAAGCAGAGGCCTCGTCAACCGCAACATGAGTTCCTCCTCTCGAGCACCAAACGGTGCCAGAAAACAGGGCAGAAACCCAAGTCTTAGGCAACCAAGACACAATCCGCGGAGCAGCCTTCGGAACAGCCCCAGGGGTAGGCCAAAGGGCAGCCAACAGCGAAGTCCGTGTCCTGGTAGACGTGACACCAGAGGCCCTTCGCCTCCACCGCAACGAAGCCGCGCGCGCACCACCTGCTCTGAACGCGAGCGCCGTGCCTCTAACGGCAACACGGGGCGCGAGAACAGCCCTGGGCGCAGAAGCGGTCCAGGGCGCCGGAGCAGCCCGCGAAGGGGCAATGCCAGAGTGTGTATCCCCGGGTGGCAGGGCGACCTGCCGCACGCGCCCCCTGTTCTCCGCGCCGGTTCACGCGTTCGGAGGCGCCGATCGTCGCGCTCCCCGTCTTCGGAGCGACGGCCAAGCGGAATGGGTGCCTCCTCGAGTCGCGGCCCCTCGCCGCCACGCGGGCGCCGACCTCCGTCGCCCGCTCTGTCTGTTGTCACACCCGAAGGTGCCGTCGAGTACTGGGTGGACTCGGACGTATCCGACAACCCTTCTGACATGGCCTCGCCGCGTGACGGCTCTCCTCCTTCCCCTCCTCCTCTCAGGAGGGGAGAAAACACACAGACACAATTAATCGTCCATTCCCCAGAAAATATGGGAAAATACGGAAGTGGTGGGGAAGACGAAAATCCAGAAAATATGGGAAAATATGGGGAATCAATTTATTTGTGTGTATTTATTTGTGTGTCCTGGGGCCCCTTCATGCTCCTCCGCACCGCGGGCGTGGTAGACGCCGGCGCAGGTGCTCCCCGCGGCGCGGAAGCCCGCGCTCAGCCCGCGGGCGCGTCGGGCCCTCCGTGGGTCGACCCCCCCGCAAGGGGCGCGGGAAGGGGCAGCGGCCCCACTTTGTGGCGGGGAGGTGGCAGCGCCGGCCAGGGAGCCGTCTGAGTGGTCATTGCGCTCATGAGCGTTGCACTCCGTCTCTCTCTTTTTGGTTCTTTGTCTCTCTCCCTCTCTCTCTCTCTCTCCCTCTGCCTCTCTCTGTCCCTGTCTCTCTCTCTCTCTCTTTCCCCCCCCCTCTCTCCATTTCTGTCCTTCTCTCTTTCTCGCTCTTTCTCTCGCTCTCTCTCCCCTCTCTCTCTCTGTCCCTTTGGTCCCTGCGTCTAGAGTTTGTTGACTTGCCAGTTTCCCCGGAACCTTCCTTCGAGCCCCAAAGTGTCTTCAAGGTGGTAGGAATTGTTAAATCTGAAGGAAAGCTTGACCAATGTGATGTATCTTCTACTTTCGTGAATTCGGTTTAGTTTGCGACTGTTTCTCGAGGCGACAGGGGTCGCGTGACGCATCGGAGTGACGAGAGACATCGCTTGCAAAGGTATTCGCTACTTTGGCCCAAGGTAAAACAACCTTTCGCTGTATCCAGGTGCTCCCACAAAACGTGCCAACATACCATTCCTTGGATTTCAACGCCGCGAATCAAGAACGTCATTCTTGAAGCTTCACCACTGCGAATCAGCGCGGCTGTTGCGCCCTGACAGCTATACCTCGCGCTGGAACGCTGGCCTTGTGACGCCAACCTCAATGGTCCGTTAGACTGGCGCGGGGGCAGAACCCTCATCTTGAAAACTGCCCCCTCCACCTGCGAAGCTCTGGCGCACGTTTCACGACGACGGCGCGCGGCGCCTGGGCGAGACCCCCCCTCTATTCGCGAAGCCCTTGCACACTTTTGCGACGACTGCGCGCGGCGCTGAGGGTAGAACCACATTTGAAAACGGCCCGCCCTCCATCCGCGAAGCTTCTGCGCACTTCGAAGAGGAATGTCTGCGGCGATGAGGGTAGAGCCACAGTTTGAAAACCACTCGCTGTCCATATGTGAAGCTTCTGCGCACTTGCATGACGAATGTGCGCGGCGCTATTGCGAGGGCAACGTTTTGAAACTGACACGCCATGCATACGCTGCGCATGTTTACGGCGAATATGCGCGGCGCTAGCGACAGGCACATGTTGAAAAGGAGCCGCCCTACATCCGTGAAACTTTTGCGGGTTTGTCAGGCGAATGTGCGTGGTGGTAAGGCGATGACTACATTTTGAAAAGAAGCCGCCCTGCATGTCTGAAACTATCTTCAAGCATATTGAACTGGATCCAGCCTGCACCTGTGAAGTTTTTGCACATTTTTAAGACGAAAGTGTTCGGCGCGGAGGCGATAAGCACATTTTGAATACCGCCCGCCTCCCATCCGTGAAGCTCTTGCGAACTTTTGAGAATGCGCGCGGCGCCAACGCGAGGGCTACATTTTTGAAACTACCCGCTCTTTATCTGTGAGACTCGGGCATGTCTTCAGGGCGAATGTGCTCGGCGGTTGGGCTTGACAGCATTTTGAAAGTCACCCGCACTCGATCCGTGAATTCGTTCCAAGTGTTATGTTCCAGCATTGTGAATTGTGCGGGAGTCGTAAGCGAAACGCCCAGCCCGCCCTTCCGACACGTCTCAGGGTGCGACAGGGAGGGAGGATTTATTTACAAGGGAAATTGATGGAGGCGGAGGGGGAGGGGGCGAGGGAGGGGGAGCGGGGAGAGGGAATGGGAGGAGGATGATGATGAGGAGGAGGAGATGAGGAGGAGTATGGTGAGGATGAGGAGAAGGAATAATGAGTGCAGGAGGAGGAGGGAGGCGGAGGCGGAGGAGAGTGTTCACCTCAGACTCCCGGTCCTTGAATCGGGGACCCGTCGTCCCAGTCGCGGGCGCTTGTTAACGCGAGTGGGGGGGGTGCGAGGACTTTCCCGCCTGGCCAGCTCGCGGCCTTCCTGACCATCCTGTCCGAGATGCGGCTGGCGCCTGGGATGGGGACAGGGATGAGGCAGAGGCGGACAATGTTGAGAAGGAGGAGGAGGAGCAGCAGGAGGAGCAGGAGGACGAGGAGGAGGGAAGATGATACGAGCAGAGATGAGGAGGCATGAGAGCGCAGGGGGAGACCACGAGAATGATGACGACGAGTAAAAGTGTAACGATACGAAGGAACAGCAGACGGAGGGTGGACCACAGAGGAGGAGGGACAGCTTCTCTTATTGTGAAAACCTTGCGGCCGGTGCCGCCGACCTTGAAAGGGGATGATGACGACGACGACGACTCACACATAAACGCATCAAGGGAGGGGAGCGGCGGCGACGACGACGACGACTCAAACGGCATAGCTTTTCACACCCCCCGACGGGGTCGGTGGAGTGAGTTTCCCAGACCGTCGAGTGCTACGGGCCGGGGGGAAGCCGTAGCGAAGCAGGAACCAGTGGGAAAGGAGGCTGCAGCGTGCACATCGTTCGCCTCAAGGTGGTAGGAGGGATGATGGATTGATACATAGGGGGAGGCCACGATGACAATGGCGATGATCATACTGCCGAAGGTGATGACGACGATGACGATGAACCTTATGATTCTTATGTTGATTGTGTTGATGATGGTGATGACCATGACGTCGACGATGCTGATTCTGATGATGTTGATGATGATGATGCTTATGATGACGATGATGACGACGACGAAGATGACAGCGACCATACTGATATTGTTGATGATGATGGTGGTGATGGTGTGGATGATGCGGATGATGCTGATGATGATGGTGGTGATGGTGTGGATGATGCGTATGAGGTCGATCTTGACGACGACGATGATGATGATGGCGACGACGACAATGATGATGCTGCTGATGATGATGCTGATGATCATGATTATGCTGATGATCATGGTGATGCTGATGATCATGATGATGATGAGGACGATGATGCGGATGCTGATGCCGATGCCGACCGATTTGATGTTGCTGATGAGGATGACAACGATGACGACGATGCTGATGCCGCCGATGATGATGATGACGATGCTGATGCCGCTGATGATGACCATGATGATGATGATGATGATGATGATGATGATGATGATGATGATGATGATGATGATGATGATGATGATGACGATGATGATGATGATGATGATGATGATGATGATGATGATGATGCTGATGCTGATGCTGATGCTGATGATGATGATGATGATGATGATGATGATGATGATGATGATGATGATGATAATGCTGAACATGCTGATGATGATGCTGATGTCGATGCTGATTTTAATGATAATGATGAATCGTATGATGATGACGGCACTGATGATCGTGCTGATGCTGATGGTGATGGTTGTGGTGGTGGCGGTGGTGATTCTAATCATGATGAAACTGTGATAATGATGTGGATCATGGAGATGTGGATGATGCTGATGATGATGATGATGATGATGATGATGATGATGATGATGATGGTGCTGATGCTGCAGTCCATGATAATGACGAATCGTTTGAAGATGGTGGCCATGATGATGCCGATGATGCTGATGATGCTGATGATGATGATGATGATGATGATGATGATGATGATGATGATGATGAGGAAGCTGATGTTGATGATGCCGACGATGATGCTATTGATGAAAATAATGATGGTGGTGGTGCTGCTGATGATGACGATGAAACTGTTGAAGTCTTACTTATGATTAGGATGATGAGGATGATGACGATGGGGATGACCATGCTGATTATGATGATGGTGATGGTGACGATGACGATCATGACGATCCTTGTAAGGCTGTTTATGCTGATGCTCACGATAACGGCTGTGATTCTGCTGAGGCTGATGTTGCTGCTGATAATGATTAAGGTTTGCAGTCAAACCGAATAATAAGAATGAGTGATTTCCAAGGCTACCCTTGAATTCTTTCCCTTCGGCCCATCGCAAAGTGTCGTCATGGCTTTCCAAGGCCCTTGCATCCTTATCGTGCGTCCCTACTGTTCGGGTTGACTGTACGCCACATCCGCCGACCCCTTATTTGAGTTCTAGTGAGTGGTGCTGTTCTCGGTTTAGTCTCCCAGGCTGTTCGTGGGTAGCGACGACGACGGTAGGCACGTGAGGGTCTTTCGCCTGGACGAGGAGGAGGAGAAGGAGGAGGAGGAGGAGGAGGGGGAGCGGGTGGGGGAGGGGATGGAGGACGAACAGGAAGAGCAGATGAGCAGCAGGAGAAGAAGGAGTGGGAAGAGTGTGGGAGAGGAGGGGGAGGAGGAGGATGGGTTTGAGGAAGAGGAGGAGTAGGAGGAGTAGGAGGAGGAGGAGGAGGAAGAGGGGGGAAGAAGAGGAGAAGGAGGAGGAGGTAGGGAAGCAGGAGGAGAACGGGAGCAGGAGCAGGAGCAGGACCAGGATCAGGAACAGGAGGCGCAGAACGAGAGAACGCATGATGACGATGCTGCGGTGCAGGAGGATTGGCAAACGGGATGAAGAGAATCTGCTTGGCACTGCCCGCGCCTTCCTGGTCCGCGAGACCCCCCCCTCCCCGATTGCGCTCGCGCCCTCCCTGGGCCGCTGGCGAGGTGCACAACGACCTTTTCGTCGCGTCGGCACAGGCCCCGCGGAGGGGGAGGAGGAGAGGAGGAGGAGGAGGAGGAGGAGGAGGGAGGAGGAGGAGGAGGAGGAGGAGGAGGAGGAGGAGGAGGAGGAGGAGAACGAGGAGGCTCTTGTGGACTTGCGGGGGCCAAGTCGTGTATAACGAAGTCGCTCGCGGCAAATCTATGCTGAGTTATGTAGTAAGCCTCAGACATATCGAGTATAATCCAGACATGTCCGGATGAGTCAGGAATGAATCGTGGAAGCCCCAGCGCGAGTCGAGAGAGTTGAATTCGTCACATACGCCGTTGACGGGAAGGGAAAGACCTGGGGCGAAGAGGGAGGAGGCAGGCATGAAGGGATCATCCCTCCCTCGTCTCCTTTTGCTTCTCATCCCCATGGCTCCTCCCGCGCCTCTCCTTCCGCGCCCCCCCCCGCCTCTACTCCACGCCCCCGCCGGATCTCTCGCCCCCTCTTCCCTCGCAGTGCTCGCCCCCTCTTCGCTCCCCCTGCGCATCTTTCCCGTTACCCCCCGCTGCCCCTCCCGTCGCCGCACCCCGCCCTCGTCCCGCCCCCCGCCCCCCGCTCCTCCCTCCTTCCTCCCTCCTCCTCCCTCCTCCCTCCCTCCCCTCCTCCCTCCTCCCTCCTCCCTCCTCCTCCTACCTCCTCCCTCCTCCCTCCTCCCTCCCCCCTCCTCCCTCCTCCCTCCTCCCTCCTCCCTCCCCCCTCCTCCCTCCCCCTCCTCCCTCCTCCCTCCCCCTCCTCCCTCCTCCCTCCTCCCTCCTCCCTCCTCCCTCCTACCGTCGCCCCTGCCGGGCTTAAAACCTGATCCAGAAGGCTGCGGAGAAGGAGAGGGTGCGAGCTACTCCCTGCCTCCTGCCCCTCCCCGTTCGTCGCCACTCCCAGCGCACCTCCCGTGAGGCTCCCCCCTGGTCCGCTCCTGGATGGTGCCAGGGCCCACTTTCGGCGCCATGCCGGGACCCTCCGGGCCCTCCAGCCCTCGAGGGAGGCGCTCTGGAGGCCACCTGAACGAAGAAGAGGAGGGGGAAGCACCGAGGATGAAGTTTTTTTTAGTTTTTTGTTTTTTTTGCTGCTTTTTTGTTTTTTCTCTCCGCCGCGTCCCTCCCCGTCCGCCCGTCAGACGATCGTGACGCGCTCCCGGGAGCTCCGGCCGGTGGAGATGCTGAGGGTGCTCCGAGCGTTCGCCAAATGTGCCCGGGGACGGGGCGGGCCCGGAGGAGGGGCATCGGGAGACATCGGCTGACCGCCTCGCCGATCCTGGTCGGGCTCCTTCTGGGCCCCAGGCTCGGTGCGTGCGCCCGCCTCGCTCGTCCAGGGAGGCGTAGACACCGACCCTGGGCCCACGTTGGGCCTCCTCTGGCCTGTTTTCCCTCAGCTCCAGTAGTCTCTATGGCCTTTTTTCCCTTAGCTCCAGTAGCGCCTCTGGCATTTTTTCCCTTAGCTGAAGCAGCTGGCAAGGATCGTTGGGGTGGTCAGTTGTCATCCCCCGAGGGGGCGTGGTGTCTGTTCCAGTGCGGGGGGCGCTCTTTCTCCGCTTCGGGCTCTTGGGACCGCTGCCCCAGTCCTCCCATGGGACCGGAGCAGATGGGATCGGAGGGTGACGCCGCATCGCCGATGCATCGCTCGATGTGCAGCCCGATTTTCTCCACGCCAACGGAGCCGATTCATCGCCGACGTCGCCGATGTATCACCGATACACTGGCGATGTGGCGCGATCTTTCGACCCCATCTACTCGAACCCCATTTGGGAGGCCTCTGGCTTCCGAACTCAGGGGCATCGCAACCCATCCAGGACGAAGAAGTGAGCTTGGGGAAGGGGGCGGGTGCTGGTAGGTCGTTCTTCCTTGGAGGGGTATCTGACACAAATCGCAAGGGGGGAAGTCTGTTGTGATGGTGATGGTGGTGGTGATTGGATGACGATGATGATGATGATGATGATGATGATGATGATGATGATGATGATGATGATGATGATGATGATGATGATGATGATGATGATGATGATGATGAGGATGATGATGAGGATGATGAGATGATGATGAGGATGAGGATGAGGATGATGATGATGATGATGATGATGATGATGATGATGATGATGATGATGATGATGATGATGATGATGATGATGATGATGATGATGATGCTGATGATGATGATGATGATGTTGATGATGATGATGATGATGATGATGATGATGATGATGATGATGATGATGATGATGATGCGTCGAGTACTTAGTGGTCTCACACCATCCCGCCATTGTACCTTGCGGGGCCTCCAGGGGGGCTTCAGGGTGGCCTCTGGGGGGTCTCCGGGGGTTCCTGTGCTCTTGGATGGGGCGAACCTTGTGCCCCTGGCCCAGCGCTGATCGCGAGGCTGAAGCTGTTTAGAGGCATGTTGTTGCTGAGATTCTTTAGGCGCCTGGTTACTCGTGCGACACACCCCAGGCGCGCCCATGAATTCCGTCAGGTGGGAGGCCCAGCCGCCGAAGGTTCGTAGAACTCTTCCACCTCTCGAACGTGGATGAGCCTTGGGGCTCTCCATCACGTGCGCAAGGCACGGTGACATCCATGAGGCGTGCGCTTGAGCGTCTGAATAGACTGGCAACAGTGGGCGTGATCTCATGTGGCCTTTCAGACTTCGTCTCGCCCTCTCTCTCTTGCCCCCCCCCCCGTCGCCTCCGTTTTCCTGCTCATCCCCCTTTCTTCTCTTCTCTTCTCCTCCCCCTGCCTGCCTTCTGCCTCCCCCTCCCTCCCTCCCTCCAACCCTCCTCGCTCCTTCCTTCCTCCTTTTTCTTCTTCCTTCTGTCTCCCTCCTCCCTCGGCCTCCATCCATTCCCACCTCTCACCCTTCTCCCCTCCCCTTCCTCCACCCTCCCCTCCCTCTTTCCCGCATCCGCCTTCCTGCCCTCCTCCCTCGATCGTCTCCCCATCCCGCATGATTCGTCCTTGCTCCATCCGTCTCCCTTCGCTCTCCGTTCCTCCTCTCTCGTCCCTTCTCCTGTCGTCCCTTGACCAGCATGTCTGCCGCTTGGAACGCCGTCCGTTTCGTGCAGACGGAAACACGTCTTCGGCAGCAAACGTGTTCTTGGGACGGTTGCTACTGACAGACGTTTCCCATTTCCTCCCGACGATGACGAGGACGCGGGGGAAACAGGACGAGGGAGGTTCATTGCCTGGATAGCAGGACGAGGGAGCAACAACAAGAGGAGGAGGAGGAGGAGGGCCCGTGTAAGCGCAAGGCTCATGAACGATGTTGGAAGCCATCCCCGCTCTGAGCTTCCTCTTTGCACGCCCCTACAAGGGTTCATTTTTAGTCAGGGAAGTAAGTGCCCCGTTTGGAGACAACCGTTGGAAGATCCTGACGCGTGCCAAAACACCATTCTCGGAGCGTCAACGCCACGAATCAACTTGACTGGTGCGCCTTGACGGTCCTGAGTCGTGCCAGCACGCCATTCCTGGGATTTCGACACCACGAATGAATGTAACTGGTGCGCCCTGACATCCTTGAATCGTTCCAGAACGCAAGTTTCTGGTACGCGAATGCAATGTTTTGAGGCGACTGTGTGCTCGAGGGCCACATTTTGAAAAAGGATCCGCTCTCAATCCGTGAGCTTCTTGTAGATTGTGAAGACGAATGTACGCGGCGCTAACGCGAGAGTCACGTTTTGAAATGGAACCGCCCTCAGTCCGTGAAGCGTCTGCAATGTTTTGAGACGAGTGTGCGCGGTGCGGGTGCGAGAGCCACGGTTTCAAAACGACGCGCCCTCAACCCGTGAAATTCGTGCCATTGTTTGACGCGAAAGTACGCGGCGCTAAGGCGAGTGCCAACTTTTGAAAACCGCCCGCCTTCCATCCTTGAAGCCGATGCCAGCTTGTTTGAAATATCAGGTAATTAAATGCTGCTAGAATCTCAGGCGAAACGCCCTTGCCGCCCTTCCGACTGGCTTCGGGGAGCGGTAGGGAGGACATTTTGACAAGGACACAGGAATGGAGATGGGAGGAGGACTCGCAGTAACCGACATAGGTCTTTAGACCCCCTCTGAAAATGGTAACACATCGTCGTTCCGACGTCCTTATTGACGGACTGGGGTCCCACCAAGAGTTGAACATAGTTATTTCTCCGCGGCACCCGCCGCACAACACCGACGATGATTACAATTACTATTACGGGTACGATTGCGACTACGCTTGCGACTACAACCACGAGTACGATTCCGATTACAATCGTGACTACAATCACGAACACAGTCACGACTGCAAGGACGACTACAACCACAACCACTGATTCTTAGTGCAATCCTCATGAAAAGATGTTCGCGCGTCCTCTCGCGTGCAGGGTAGCCCACAATGTGATCTCCCCGTTGGACCCCCCAAACAACCCAACATTAACCAACCCGCCAAGCAATGCAGGGAGCACACATTCCGCCGCGACGACGACGACTACGATTACGACAGTACGACTACAACCATGACTACGATGACGACCACAATCGCGACTACAATCACGACTGTAATCATGATTGCAACCACGACAATAAACACGACTACAACCACAAACGCAGATCCCGATTGCAATCCGCGTGAGAAGATGCTCACACATCCTTTCGCACGTAGGGTAGCCGACTGGATTATTTCTTGGGATCCAACCCGCCCAACAATAGGTAAAACATATTATCCGCCGCGGCGACGACGACGACTACGATTACGACTGCGATGACGACTACTCCAAGACCAGGATTACGACTACGAGCGCGACGGCAATCACGATTTTTAGCCCCATTGCAACCACGACTACAATCATGACTACAACCACAACCGAATATTTCTGTTGCAATCCTTGTGAGAAGGCGCTCACATATCTTCCCGCGTGCAGGGTAGCAGGAGGAGGACAGGGAGGAGGAGGAGGAACAGGAACATGAGGAGGGGGGAGGAGGGAGGGGGACGAGGAAGAGGAGGAGTAGGAACCAGTGGAGGAGATGGGGCGAGTTTGCTCCCCGCTGGAAGAATCACGGGAGGATTCAAAACAGACGACCTCCCGAGATTAGGAGTAGAGGTTTCATGATATGTGGCTAGTCCCACTCGTCTCCCCTGAACTCGAAGGCCATAAGGAAGGGTCGTAACCATTTCGGCTCAAGACCCATTGCCTTTACCCGTTCTTCTTTACTTCTCAAAAATACCTACCATTACCTCTTTTTTCCAAACCCTTCCGAGTGTTTCATTATCGCGGTCGCTCTGGCACGAGCGGCATTGGCAGGACTGTGACGTGCGCCTGCCTGTTGTGGTGGGAGAGTCCAGACATCCTCATGCTCACCGCTGCCGTCCGTTGGGCGACAGGTGGTAGCGGAGCGGCGAGCGGCTCTACGTCCGCGGACCAGAGATGGCAGCGGCGAGGGCAGACGATGACTTGGAGCCACCACGGGCGCAATCTGGGGAGCAGCCGGCAGCGCAGGTACTGACGGACACGTTTATGCGGCAAGAGGGCCTCCAAATGTCCGAGGATGCGGCGCGAGAGCTGGCGCGCAGCATCCTGTCAGGCCGCTGAGGCACGCGAGTCGCCTGGCAGCGCCCAGCGGCGCTCGGCGGGTGAAGACGACGCCAGGGATAGCAGCTGGCGCAGGCCAGGTGCGCTCTGGCCCTAGGGCGGGTTCAGAAGCCGCTCGAACAGAATGGCACCCGAGACGGCAGGAGCGTCAGTCAAGTCGGAGAGCGGCCGGTGCTGGAGCAGAGCCCTCTGGGGAGTTTCATGGCGGGCCAGGCTGGCGGCAAGGGCGCATATCTAGACAGATCAGGAGCCGACGTGGCAGAGCAAGGGCTACGAGTGCGATCCTTCCAGCTGGGCCTCGAGGTGGACTGGGTGGACATGGTCCTCGCAGAGCGCCTGGGAGCGTAGGTGGGCGACGGAGGCGTCGACGTGGAATCCAGCATGGAGTCGTGCTGGAATTGAGAAGTGGTGCGGGAACCCTAGGGAAGAGGGCCCAACGCTGGTGGCACCTACTCCGAGTGGAGCGGCACCTGGGCCAAACCATGCAAAAACTTCACCGACTTGGAGAGGTGGGCGTCCTGGGCTGACTGCTGCGTGCGGTGTCGTAAGGTTTTGAGGTGGGGGGTTCTGACAGACGTGCCTTTCCGTAAACAGGTAGATCGTTTTTGTTTCCGCTCCCCGGGTCGGGACTTGCAGCTGAAGCTGGGGGACATAGAAGACGACGCGCAGCGCGGCCGCGACGGGTTCGACGCAGCGATCAAGCGCCTCGATCTGAGATGCCCCCCTCCCCCTCCCCCTCCCCCTCCCCCTCCTCCTCCTCCTCCTCCTCCTCCTCCTCCTCCTCCGCTCTCCTCCTGCGCCTCATGTGTGAGGATGTGACGAGAGGGAATGTCGTGTCCGAGTCGTGGCAGGGGCGCGCGGGCCCTTCTGCGGCCCTGCCTCGGAGGGGCCGTGAGGTCATTTTTGTCCCGCGGGCACGGGGTGTCTCGGCATCGTGGGTGTGAATGGGATATCCGACGCCCTCAGTGAAGTATCCAAAGATCGGACCGTCGAGCCGCTATTTATCTGGCAGTAGTCCGGTGGATGTCTCATCCCCTCCTTCCTTTGGGCTGCATGGTTCAGTCCGACGTTGCCAAAACGAATGCGGTTAAAGTTTAGCTGCCCCATTCGGGGTGTTTGTGCTTGTCTGCCGAGGGTGCCGCCGTAGAGGGTCGCAAGAAGGACCCTCGCAAGAATGGCCGATCCTGGGCCGAGTCACAGACACAAATTCAGCAGCAGGAGGAGGGGCTCAAGGCAAGCCATGTTCTGGATCGCCTCAAGTTTAGTGAGGTCGAGTCACGCAGGCGAGGCAGGATCCATATGCGCCACGTTGGCTGTTTAGGCCGCAGCGTTTTTTTTGGGGGGGCGCATCGCCCTGAGCGACGCGCCGGACGGGCAGGAGAGGACAGGAGCTTGTCCAAGACAAGATGGCAGCTGCGTCACAGCCGATGGTTCGATTCTTCCGCTTGTGCAGAGCGCTGATCAAACGCACAATTGGCCTATCAAGCTCAATACTAGTCGAGGAATTTGAGCGTCGGGGCACTGACATTCGAGTCTAGAGGCACATGCATTGTGATATGTAGCTGGTCTTACCAGATTCGTTGAACTTGAAGGCCAGAAGGAAGGGTCGTAACAGCTTTGACCCAAGACTCAATACACTTACTCGTTCCCCATGATTTCCAAATATCCAGACCATTCCCTTTTTCCAAACCTTTGTTCCCAACCGTTTCCGATTGTGCTGTATCATGATCGCTGTGTCACGAGCGGCACTGACAGGACTGTGACGTGCGCCTGCCTGTGGTGATGGGAAAACCCAAACGTCCTCATCCTCACCTCTGTCGTCCGTGGGGCGACAGGATGAACAGAACGAGGGAGGGGGAGGAGGAGCAGCAACAGCAGTAGCAGCACTAAAAGGAGCTATCCGACGCGCCCGTGATGCCCGAAGCCGACGAAACCACTGGCAACGGACAGAAGTGTGAGAAAGCTGACGACGACCACGACCACGACGACGACGACGATTTCGACGACGACGACAGACACGTCGACCCAACGACCAACACGGGCGACGACCGACGACCGGCAAGTGACGACGGCGAGCGACGACTGATCACCGACGACCACGACCACGACCACGACGTCGATGAGCGACGAGCGACGACCATCACCGGCGATGACGGCGGCGACTGACGACCGACGACCACGACGGCCACGACGGCGCGGAACTGCGAGGGGCGCTGAGCCGAGCCGAGGGCAGGTGGCGTGCAGAGCGACGCGCTGTGCCAGGCCGAGCCGCCCGCCCCAGCCGGTCGCGCCGAAACCCGGGGCCTTTCCCGAGGTGAGAAGGACCGAGGACTAATCGAGGTCGACAATCTAGGAGGATTCAGGATCAACTTTGAGACTGAGAAGGGGGAGCAGGGAGGAGGAGGAGGAGGAGGAGGAGGAGGAGGAGGAGGAGGAGGAGGAGGAGGAGGAGGAGGAGGAGGAGGACGACGAGGACGAGGACGAGGAGGATGTGGGAGGAGGATAGGGCATCCCCAAACGGTTCGGCGGGCCAGAGGGGATTCGGGTGAGCGGACCGTTTTGGGACTTCAGGGTCGTTCTTCGAGGGTGTCTTGAACGCCTGGGACTTGGAAAGTCCTGAAACCGTGCCGTGATGGATCGTGAGGTGAGGTGCTTAGTACCTGGAGGTCATCGCGCTGTCTGACACCAGGGCAGGGTGGAGGAGTGGCGCCACAGGCCATGGGCGAGGAGGTCGCCACCAGGTTCAAGGACCAGTGGCCGCTGCTGCGCGCCCGCCGCTCGCGGGCCTGGACGGGCGCGCGCGGAGGGCAGTGGAGACGTAGGCGTAGTATGAGGTATCGGAGTAGGAACAGACGGGAACGAGGTGTGATGGAGATGGCGACGGTGATGACGGTGATGACGGTGATGAAGATAATGAAGGTGGTGATGATCATGGTGGTAATGCTGATGTTGATGATGCTGATGATGATGATGATGATGATGATGATGATGATGTCGCTGAGTATGAGGACGAGGAATCTGATTTTGATTAGGATGAGGTTTATGATGCTGATGCTGATGATACTGCTGGTGCTGCTGTTGCTGCTGCTGATGATGATAATGATGCTGGTGATATTGTCAGTGAAGTTATTGCTATTAGTAGTCGCATTCGTATTATGTTTGCGATTCGCAGTCTTACCATACTTTCAAGTTTTATTTGTATTCGTAATATTCGTGCGACTATCCCGATCGTGTTATTGTTATTGTTCTTAATTTGAGTCGAATACATATTGATATTCGTATCGTTCGTAATGTCCGTATGTTTGGTGTTTTTTACAGTAATAACAGATACTAGTATTAGCTGTATTCGTATCAGTATATGAGTTTTTTTTTTTTTTTTTTTTTTGTTTTTTGATGTTGTTTTTTTTTATCATTCGTAACATTGAATTTAGTATCAGTGTTATTTCGAATCGTATCATTCTTATTAGTCTGATTAGTGGTATTGTCATTCGTGCTATTATTATTCGCACGCGTAATCGCATTACTACTACTAGTCCGATTCTGACTGGTATTTTTGATCCGTATTTGTTAGTAGTATGTGTATTCATAGGCATTCGTAGTAGTAGTAGTAGTAGTAGTAGTAGTAGTAGTAGTAGTAGTAGTAGTAGTAGTAGTAGTAGTCGTAGTAGTAGTCGTAGTAGTAGTAGTAGTAGTAGTAGTAGTAGTAGTAGTAGTAGTAGTAGTAGTAGTAGTAGTAGTAGTAGTATGTGTGTTTCGATTCAATTCGAGGTGGCCGAAGGCGAACCTGGTCCACGGATGTACGACATTTGCAACTCAGTGCGGGGCGCGCAAATTGCGCCGGCTCGGTCAGGAAGCGCGGCGGATTGGCAAAACAAGCACCACGTGGGTGGAAAACCTGAGACTCGCAATTCGTGAAAACGACGAGAGTTGATGACGCCAGCCGAGGGCGCTGGATGTGGAGGCGCCTGTGCAGGGCGCTATGGGGAGTATGAGGTGCCCCCCAGACCAGCAGGTCAGGAGGAGGAGGAGGAGGAGGAGGAGGTGGAGTAGGAGGAGGAGGAGGAGGGAGGAGGGAGGAGGGAGGAGGGAGGGGGAGGGAGGAGGAAAAGGAGGAGGAGGAGGAGGAGGAGGAGGAGGAGGAGGAGGAGGAGGAGGAAGGAGGAGGAGGTGGTCGTGGAGGAGGAGGAGGTGGTCGTGGAGGAAGAGGGAGAAGGTGGTCGTGGAGAAGGAGGAGGAGGAGGAGGAAGAGGAAGAGGAGGAGGGGAGGGGGCACAAAATCGCAAGGCTCCCCTGCCCGTTCGGGGTGGCGCCAGACGGCCGCTTCCCTGGCCGGAGCACTGGCGGGCTGCAGCTCTGTCGCGGGGTCTCGGGCAGAGAGCGCGTGCGCGTTCCGCCCCTCGCTGTGCGGCCGCGGTTAAACGCTGCGTCGGCCCTGCAGTGGAGGCCCATGCCAAGACACACCCTGCTTGCCTCCAGGGTGCCCTGGGTCTCTTGGGTTTCGATGGTTTTGCCATGGGAAGCGTGACATTCCCAAATGGTCGGGCCCCCACGGTATCGGCTTCGGCGACTTGGGAAACGGAGAAAGCAGGAAGGCTTCCCTGCATCATTTGGACCCTGAGTTGCTTGCTGGAGAACTGTGAGTGGTGGAGCGTGCGGGTGCGGGTGCAAAAGTTCTTCAAACAAGCTGGGCACTTCGTGCCAAGGATGTGATACCGCGCCGACATTGTTCTGCCGTGCGCGTGCCCCCTTGTGAGCGGCCAGGCCTTCGGGCCCACGGCTTTTTGGCTGGCATTCAGGGCACGTCGGGCTTGGGCATGGCGGCGACGCGGTGGATCGCCATCAGCGTTGCTGGCAGCTGCGCGCCAAGCCCTGGCAGTCGTGGCGCCCGCACGCACAAGGCGAGCAGGGGGGGGGGCCTGCAGCGCGGTCCGCACCTCGAGATCCGTTGGCGTGCTGGAGGCCCCAGGGCCCTTAGTGGGCCCTGGAAACGACAGGGCCGTTTTTTTACCGGTTCCGTTTTACTGTTTTTTTACCGGTTCCGACGCCGTTTTTTTACTGGTTCCGTCGCCGTTTTTTGACCGGTTCTGGCTCCGGGTCCAATCCTGGAGCCGATTTTTTGCCGTTTCCGGTCGCCGTTTTTTTGCCGTTTCCATTTTCAAGGAACATGTTTTTGGAAACGGTGAAAAAACGGCCCTGCCGTTTCCGCCGGGGCCCACGAAGGCGCAACGAGCCGTGAATGCGGCGCACCGCCACCGCAAACACGCCGCGCGAGAGCTCGAGGGAGTCGGCGGGCGTGGTCCCGGTGGACTCAGCCATGGCCTTTGACCCAGAGGTGGGGGCGGCCAGCGGCACGGAGGCCCGCTGCGCCCTCGCCGCCTCGCGGCGGCCGTCGGCCTGGTGACCGCCAGCGCCCTGGCGCATCGTGCTCAGGTGGGTGAAGTGGTGAGCGATCTTTAGAGTGAGGCCGCCCGGGGAGGTGAATTGCTCGCGCCCGATCTCCTGCAGTTCGCGCTGGCGGCGCTTCCTGGAGCCCTTGCCGAGGAACTTGACCTCGGTGGCTGACTTTCCTGGACCGAAGTGTACTGTGAGACGGAGGCGCAACAGCTCGTTGACCAGGATGTCCGGGGCCTTTCCAAGCTCGTCCAAAGTTCTGGACGCCCGACATGGGTACCGAAAGAATGGGTACAATGCCCAACAGCAGTTCCTGTTCATTCTGAACAGGACTCGCTGTCCGCGCCGCCGCGGCCTGTGTCCATTCGAGACAGAAGGCCGCCTGCCAAACAGCGGCTGCTGTTGGTTTGGGACAACATTTGTTGTTGGGCATTGTACCCATTCTTTCGGTACCCATCTCGGGCGTCCAAAAAAGTGCGCTGGCGCCCGCCGTTTTCTGCCTCGAGGAGCGCAAAGACGGCGTCATCGACGTACTCGTCGTCGACGTTTTGTTGGTGGTCTCGCGGAGGTCCTCTGAAGTCGACGGCAGTTGTCCAGGGGATGGCGACGTACTTTGGAGTCCGAAGTTCGAGGGTGATATCTGCTTTCTGGATGCGCTGTCGTGCGCGGCCTACTGCAAGTTCGCGGGCCAGGTCGAAGCGAAGCGCGCACTGCCGACAACCTTGGCGGGCCCCGCGGCAACGAGGACCACGTCGTGCTCCACCTCTCGTGCGGCGAACCGTTCGCCCGCATGCCAGTCGGCGATCTGCCAGACTTTCTCTGGCGTCGCGCCCGCCTGCCCCAGCAGAGGCGGGTGAGTCCCCTGGTGGGTCTGGGGGTGCCAGCTGTCTGCGGGCCGCGGAGAGGTCCGTGAGCTTGCCACGGCCGACGCCGTAGAGGCACTCGCGGGCGGTGGGGTCGAAAGCCTTGGCCGAATCCAAGAGTTGTTTCCTTCAGCCCGCTGATGGTGGCGGCGCGCTAGGTGAACGCCTGGATGGCCGCGGTGAGGAACGCGGCGTCCTTCCCCGGCATGGAGCCGCGCTGCGCCGGTCGGGGCTCAAGAGACGGGGGTCAATGCAAACGGGGTCAGCCAGAGCGCCCGATCTTGCAGGATCTTGCAGGGCCAGGGTCGCATTGACCCGGGTTTGGGTGCAGGATCCTGGAGGATTTTGCAGGATCCTTTGCAATGACCCGGGTTTGGGTGCAGGATCGTGCAGGATTTTGCAGGATTCTGAAAGGCCTGATTGACCCGGATCTGGACTGACCCAGGTCAGAAGATCCCCGAGCCGGGCCTAGCGAGTTCTGGGTCTCTCGGAAGACCTTTTCGGCGGTCGATATGCATCTACCACTTGCATAGGTGGTCGAAGACGAGGAAGCCGCGGCTGTTTCCGCACCCCAGAATGCTCTTCCCCTTCCGTCGCGGGGGGGGAGGGGGCACGGGCAGCAGTGACATGCATGTCAAACGACGGGATCGCCATATCCAGCGCGGCCTCTATCCCGTTTTTCCACGTGGACTCGCTGATGCCGTCTGGGCCGCCAAGGCCCTTGGGATGTTTGCGAGAGAAGCTCTGCCGCGTTCGGTCGCGATCCAAACGCTGCAGCTGTCGCCGCACCGGTTCTCTGGCGGGGGGAGACTCGGACACCGCGGCCATGTCCAAACGCTTTCCCGCGAACAGGGAAGACCAACGCCGCTCCCATCTGCGCTCTGCGCCGGAATTCGTCGGGGTCGAAGGGCGGGCGGGGCTCCGCGTTCGTCCAGTGGTTTGGTGTGTTTGCGGGACCTCTTGTGGACTTTCAGCTGTCTGGTGATGTTGCGTAGCTGCTTGGCGTCGCCGCCCTGGCCGGCCGCGCCCGCCTGGGGGGTTATTTCCTCGGCGCAGCGGGGGCGATCTACGCGAGTTAGGGCTCGCGCAGCCTTGCGATGAACTGCCGAATGCCCGGACATTGGTAAGTTGTTGGGCATTGGTGAGTTGTTGTTGGTCAGCTGCTGATTTGTGTTGGCCATTGATCGGTTATTGAAATATGATGCGCGAGACCACGGTCGCGTCGGTCGCGCAGACTTGCTGCTCGCCGTTCCAGAAACGCGCGGGCAAGCCAGAGCTTCTGGGCGCGGTGGCCGCGCCAGACTTCTTGACTGCGAACCTGCGGGGTGTGTTGGAGGCCCCCCCAGCTGGCCTGGGGTGCGGAGCGAAGAGAAGCGCTGATGCTGGCGCCGGTGAGCCCGGTGGATGAGCTGGTGGTGGTGGTGGTGGTCTGGGCCGTCGCGGGCGTGCTGCTGGAGCTCGCGGGCAGTCTGCGGCGCGTCCTGCTGGAAATCC